GGGGCAGACGTGGTGAGCTCTCCCCCCCTCAGGAGCTGGTCTTCACTGCCAGCACCCACCCGCCACGGGGGGGCAGAGACCGGCACCTTTTCTCTGAGCGGGGCCTCCAGAGGATGGGTCTGCACTTTATTTCTGCTTCTGTGCCTGTAGATGTGGCACCTGCTGATCTCTGTAATGTGCGCAGTTTGGATCCTCAGGGTCCTCTCGAGATCTTTCTCTAGGGGCTTGTGTGTTAGCCAGCTGCTGCTCTGTCTGTGAGAGGTGGCCCTGAATTCTAATGTGTCTGCACCCAGCTCCCTGGTAGACGAAAAAAATAGATTTTATACCTTTTTGTTTATAATGAATGTTCCTAAGATCTTATTTGAAGGAGCAAATAAGAAGACCATTTAGGTCTCATGTCATTAATATAAAATAGATTGTCATCGACAGAGGAGGTGAGCTGCTCTCCCATTGGCGCCAATTAATAATGACTCCTTACACTTCTAAGGCACTTTTCTGGACACTACACTCAGAGGTCTTCACAGGTAATGGGGATCCCCTCCACCCCCACCTGGATGATGCACCAGTCCGCTCCCCACACACCAGCTCTCAGCATGGAGGAGAGCAGAGTGATGAAGCCAATTCAGAGATGGGGGGTGGTTATTGGGAGGCCATGATGGGTAAAGGTCAGGGGAAAATTTAGCCAGGACACTGGGGTAACACCCCTACTGTTTTTGAGAGACACCCCTGGGATTTTTAATGACCACAGAGAGTGGGGACCTTGGTTTTATGTCTCATCTGAAAAATGATACCTTTTTACAGTATAGTTTGCTTGTTGCTATACTGGGGCATTAGGACCCACACAGACTGCAGGGTGAGCACCCCCTGCTGGCCTCACTAACACCTCTTCCAGCAGCAGCCTCAGCTTTCCCAGGAGTCTCCCCTCCATTACTGGCCAGGCTCACAGCTGCTGGGCTCCAGTGGGTGGCCAGCTAGGAGCTGCAGGGTGCTAGAGATGCTAGCGAGACTACTCCCTCTGCTCTTCCAGCTCGGCTGTAACAGTATCTTGGATAGATAATACTTTATTAATCCCGTAGGGAAATTGTGTTACAGCAGTCCAGCCCAAGACAAGCAAAACAGACATCAGAATAGTTGTAAAACAAAAGACAACCAAATAAATATAAATACATAGGTGTGTGCAAAATGTGCTGGTCATGGTCACTGTAAAAACAAAATATGTGCCTAGGCTTATGCAGACTGATTGTCCAAAAAGTACAATGGAGTAAGCATGCTGTCCATAGAGCAAATAATTATAATTGCTTACATTTATATAGCGCTTTTCTGGACACTCCACTCAAAGCGCTTTTCAGGTAATGGGGATCCCCTCCACCACCACCAATGTGCAGCCCCACCTGGATGATGCAACGGCAGCCATAGTGCGCCAGAATGCTCACCACACATCAGCTCTCAGTGGGGAGGAGAGCAGAGTAATGAAGCCTATTCATAGATGGGAGGCTATGATTGGTAAGGGCCAATGGGAAGTTTGGCCAGGTTACACCCCTACTCTTTTCGAGAAACGCCCTGGGATTTTTCCTGACCACAGAGAGTCAGGACCTCGGTTTTACGTCTCATCCGAAGGACGGCGCCTGTTTACAGTATAGTGTCCCTGTCACTATACTGGGCATTAGGACCTACATGGACTGCAGGGTGAGTGCCCCCTGCTGGCCCCACTAACACCTCTTCCAGCAGCAACCTTAGTTTTTCCCCATTAGGTCTCCCATCCAGGTACTGACCAGGCTCACACCTGCTGAGCTTCAGTGGGCTGCCAGTTGTGAATTGCAGGGTGATATGGCTGCTGCTAACAGTCCTAGCCTAGGGCAGCGTTATACACCCTGACAGCCGGCGGGAGGAGAGACCTGTGGAAACGTTCCCTTGAACACCGGAGCTGGAGCAGTCTATTGCTAAATGTGCTCCACTGCCCAGTAACAGTCCCATGAAGCGGATGAGAGGTGTTGTTCATGATGGCTGTGAGCTTAGTCGGCATTCTCTTCTCAGCCACCACCTGCATGGGGTCAAGGCTCATCCCCAACACAGTGCCAGCCTTCTTGAAAAGTTTGAGCCTATTTCCATCTTTTATCATGATGCTGCTGCCCCAGCACACAACAGCGTAGAAGATGGCTGCCGCCACCACTGATTCATAAAAAAAAAAAAGTGTAGCAGTGTTCCACACACACCAAATGACCTGAGTCTCCTAAGAAAATAGAGTTGGCTCTGACCTATCTTGTACAGGGTGTCAGTGTTTCCAGACCACTCCAGCTTATCATCCAGGTGTACCCCTAAGTACTTGTAGGAATGTACGCCCTCTATGTCCTCACCCTGGATGGAAACGGGGTACAGGGGAGACTTATTCCTTCGAAAGTCAAAGATCATTTCTTTGGTCTTGCTGCTGTTAAGATGGAGATGGTTAAGATGACACCACTCCACGAAATTGGTAATCAAGCTCCTATATTCCTCCTCCTCCCTCCCCTCTCTAATACACCCCACAATTGCAGAGTCATCCGAAAACTTCTGCAGATGACATGTCTCAGAGTTGTACCTGAAGTCAGGGGTGTAAAAGGTGAACAGGAATGGAGCAAGGACAGTCCCCTGTGGAGCCCCAGTACTGCTAACAATCTGTTTGGACACACAGCTCTGTAGCCGTACATACTGTGGCCTGCAGGTCAGATAGTCTATAATCCAGGACAGCAGGGGCGTGTCCACCTGCGCTGTCCTTCGCTTATCTCTCAGTACAGGTGGATGGGTGGTGTTAAAGGCACTGGAGAAGTCAAAGAACATAACTCTCACAATGCTGCCCATCTTCTCCGGGTGAGAGTTAGCTCCGTGTAGCAGATAGATGACTACATCCTCCACTCCCAGGTGTGACCAGTAGGCGAACTGCAGGGGGTCCAGTGCTGTACTCACCAGGGTTCTGAGGTGGTCCAGTACAAGCCTTTCCAGAGTTTTCATTAGGTGTGATGTAAGTGCCACTGGCCTGTAGTCATTCAAGACTTTAGGGTGCCCCTTTTTGGGTACTGGCACCAGGCAAGATGTCTTCCAGAGCATCGGAACCTTTTCAAATCTCAGGCTGAGGTTGAAGATGTACTGCAGCACTGAACCCAATTGGTCCGCACAGATCTTTAGCACCCTGGAGCTGACGCCATCAGGACCCGCTGCCTTTCCTGCATGGAGTCTCCTCAACTCCCTTCTGACCTGGTCAGCTGTGATGGATAGGCCTAGGAGGGCAGGGGAAGATGGGGTAGGAGTAGGAGGGATCACATGATGGGGTGACTGAGGACATGAAGAGGGTGTCTGGGGTGAAGGCCTGTGAGGTGAATGGACAGTGGACCCTCTATCGAATCTGTTGAAGAAAAGATTCAGCTCATTGGCCTCTCCAGGCCTCCCTCACTCTGTTGGCCGCCGGACAGCTTGTATCCGGAGATCTTCCTCATGCCATTCCACACTTCTCTCACATTGCTTTCCCTCAGCCTGTCCTCCATTTTCCTCCCTTAAGCCACCTTGCTCTCCCTAACTCTCACCTTCAGCTCTTTCTGTGCTCGCTTCAGGTCCTCCTTGTCACCTGCCTGGAAAGCCTTCTTTTTCCTATTTAGGATGGCCTTCAGATCCCTGGTGACCCAGGGTTTATTATTGGAGAAGCAGTGCACTTTCCTGGTGGGCACTGCACTGTCAACACAGAAGTTTATGTAGTCAGTGATGCAGTGGGTAAGACCATCAATGTCATCTCCATAAGGCTCACAGAGTATCTCCCAGTCTGTTGTTTCAAAACAGTCCATCAGTGCATCATTAGCCTCAGCTGACCATCTCCTCACTGTCCTGGTGGTTACTGGTTGCTGTAGTACAAGAGGCTTGTACAGAGATAGGAGGTGAACAAGGTTGTGGTCAGATCTGCCAAGGGGGGTAGTGATGTGGAGCTGTAGGCATTCTTGACATTAGCATACAGCAGGTCCAAAGTCTTGTTATCTCTAGTAGGGCATTTAACAAACTGACTAAAAGTAGGCAGGGTAGAGGAGAGCGAAACATGATTAAAATCGCCAGTTATCAAGAACATGGCTTGTGGGTGACGAGTCTGTAGTCCGGCTGCAACAGTGTGTATGACGTCACACGCTGAGGCTGTGATGTCGGCCTAGAGGAGCCACAGCCCGACAGTATTGTTCTTGTTTTTTTTTGTGCACAGCCGTGATGTTAGTTCTGGATTCTGGACGATGGGTCGTGATGGTTTAAGAGCAGTTTCTTTTTTTTCTTTAGGGGACCTGCCCCCTGTCCTGCCCCAGGGCATGTGGCTGCTGGAGAAGATCCGTGGCTCGGTGGAGGGGAACGTCCCGCGTCACGGCGAGGCTGCGGACAAGCAGGGCAAGGCCCCCGTCTACAGCAACGTCCTGACGCCTGACAAGATCCCCGACTTCTTCATCCCCCCGAAACTGGTCTGCTGCCCCCCGGAGGCCGAAGCCGACGTGAAGCCCAAGTCCAGCCTGCGGGTGTCGAGCTCGGAGCAGGCGATCGGCACCAGGAAGCCGCAGGGCAGCCCGCGGCTGGGCAGCAAGCTGGCGGGAGACGCCAAGAGCCTGCTCAAGGCCGCCAACCGCCACATCATCCAGATCGAGACGGCGGACGAGGTCGTGGCCGGAGACCCGGGCGACCTCGACACCAACGCGGACCCCCAGTCCCAGACGGCCATGTCGCTGCCCTATGTCCCCAAGACGCAGACGTCCTACGGCTTTGCCACGCTGATGGAGAGCCCGCACACGCGGCGCAAGGAGTCCCTCTTCCACACGGACCACACCAGCCCCGTGACCTCGCCCAGCTCCCAGCGCAAGAAAGCCGCGGGCAAGGCCAACGGGGAGGGCCACCACCTCAACCCCCCCGACTTCAACATGGCGGTGGCCAACCCCTACCGCTACTTCAGCGGCGGCGAGAGCGACACCTGCTCCTCAGCCGAGTCCTCGCCCTTCAGCTCGCCGCTGCTGTCCCGCTCCGCCTCGCTGCTCAAGCTCTTCACCCACGAGACGCAGGCCAAGGTGGCCAAGGCCAAGCACACCTTCGCTCGGCACAGCTCCCTCTCCACGGACGAGTGCAGCTCGGCCGACACCAGCCCCAACGTGCAGCGCCGGATCCGCTGCCCGACCCCTCCGCCGCCCACGGGGGGCGGCGCCGGGCACATGGCCGGCGGCCTGGACCACCTGCACGCGCAGGACCGGCTGCACTGGGAGCACACTCTCGCCTTGCACAAGGGCGGTACCCTGCGGCTCAGCGCCGACTACGACGCCGGCGCCGCCCGCCTGCGGATCCGCGTGATCGCGGCGGAGGACCTCTACGACAAGCTCTTCGACATCAAGAGCATCAACTGCTGCGTGGCCCTGTACCTCAACCCGGGCAAGCTGCAGAAGCAGAGGAGCACCATCATCAAGAACAGCCGCAACCCCGTCTTCAATGAGGACTTCTTCTTCGACGCCGTGCCCTGCGTGCAGATCAAGAACCTCGCCGTCAAGATCAAGGTGGTCAACAAGGGCACCAGCCTGAAGAGGGACACCCTGCTGGGCGAGCAGGAGATCCCCCTGGCCAAGCTGCTCTCGGGGCTCTAGGACCCCCCAGGCTGGCTCCCCCCTTGCTCGATTTCCTCTTTGTCGTCCCCCCCGTGTCTGTCCAGTTCTGAAATGTTGACGTTTGTTGCTGTAGGTTCGGGTGCTCCAGGCATGGGCTCGGGAGCTACCCAGGCTTCTCCTGTTCCATCCTGTTGCAGGATTTGCACTCTAAATGTCACCATGGTCTTGTGGCCTCAGTTTAACCAGATAGACCAGAGGGTCCTGGCTTGGAGCAGTCCAGTCCAGCCTGGCCCGGCTGAAGGGCTCCTGCGTGCTGTCCCAGACCCGGCCCCTTGCATGCGTAGGTCGGGGTGGTGGGGCATGGGGGCGGCGTGCGCCCGTGCTCGGCCGGTGGTCTGCAGAGGTCTGACGTCAAAGAGGACTTGAGAGCCGCAAGCGCCAGGCCCTGTTTCTGCACCTGTGGGGACCCCCAGGGGACCGTCCTGCCTCTGGTGAGGCTTTCCCAGGGGGAACCACAGCAATGTCCTGCGTGGAGTGGGCTTGACATCCTGCCAGCGGCACCCCTGTCGGACTTGGTGGTTTGCGTTTTTGCAGGATCTTTTGGGATTTTCAGTTCAGGAAGCCCTTTCTCACACAAGGACACCCAGAAGCCTTACAGAGTAAATGTTGTACAAGGATTTCCAGGAGCCTCATTGTGTCTTGCCAAAACCTCCTGTAGAGGTGGAGTAGAGGGATGTGTATCTTAGTTCAGAATGCTTGTATGCTGCTGTTATTTCAGACCTGTCTTTTTGCTTTTCTCCTCTAAAGCAGCAGGTGAGGAGGCTGGGAAAGTACTGACTTGCTGTGGGGTGGGCCTCGGCCCTTGACATCACATGTGCTGGACAAAGTATTCTCACACACGCACACACACTGCTGCAGAGCTGAGCCCCCAGCCTGCTTCTCACTCTGTCCCTCCCCACGGGGTCAGTGGGCTGTCGGCACTGCTGTCATATTGCCCCCTGTGCTCATTGCGGGCAAACTGCACTACCCTACTTCCATTTACACGGTAACCAAGACGGGTCCTCTGGGGCTCTGTTCCTGTAGCCCCTACTCGCCACCCCAGAAGCATCAGGTCCCAAATCCAGCAGATCATTTCTACCACTGTGGTCCTTTGATTAGACATTGAGGCCTTGCTGCGATGTGAGCAAGGAGTTTAACGGTTTCCTGTTTCTACCAGGGCTGGTCCAAACGGCAGCAGGCGCTTCGGTATAAAGGGGAAGGGTATTTCTCCTCTCCTGCAGACCGTACACGTCGGTCTCTCCTTCCTCTGACCGCAGCCGAGCGGGGGGCCGGGTCTGCGAAGCTGAAGCCGTGACGCCCTGGCCAGCACACGCGCGCTCTGGGTGGTCCCAAGGCGGGGAGGGTTTTATTTCTGGAGCAGGACATGAAAGTTAAGAACTCAAAGTCCAAATCCATAAACAAAACTTGAATCAAGTGTTCTTCTTCAGTAGCTGTTGTACCTCTACAGTGGAAACTAGTGGCAGCTGGCGGTTAGGGCCGGTCTCCCCTTGCAGTTGGGGAAGGGAAAAGGTTACAGACCCGCATGTTCTTGCTTATTAAGTGTATTTTAATGCGCTGGAATGTTTCTGTATTAAGTGATTTTTTTTTTCTCGGAGCATGTGGTGTTGAAAGTACCTGCCCGTCCCTCTGCGCTGCGTGTTTAATGCATTAAGAGCGACACCGTTCCCAGGTTCATTAGAGCACGGCCGGACTGGTTCTGTTTAATTTCCCATTAGCGTGCAGCGGCAGGCGAAGATGGTCTCTAATTATTCCATCCAGGAGGCTCTTTAATCATGGAGGGGGGGGGGGAGCTTTTGATTGGCAGGAATGTCTCCGATTAAAAGCTGAAAGTAGCTCCCACTGAAGGGAAGAGGGAGCGTCTGGCCGGGCGAGGAGTGAAATTGCTTCTCTCATCGCAGATCATGTTTCTGCAGCGCAGATTAAAGTTGGCGCATTAAACCGCCTAAACGAATTCCTCGTCCTGCAGGAGGAATTAGTGCTTTCTGGGCGCTCGGTGTATTTGAAGATGTTGGATGTGAAGTGTTTGATCTGGGTTCTGTTGTTGGCGCGTGATGTGAGCATGCAACTTTTTATACTGTAAAGTCCCGAGCTAGTGGCCTGATATTGATTGTTCTAATTGTATTGTGTAATTGTACACATGTTTACGGAGAGCGCTGCCTCAATTAAAAATGAAGCATTGTGCAGATTCAGCTCGGATGTTTGGGAGTTTTTTTTTTCCAGCACGCACACACCTTTACAAACCGGAGAAGTGTTGCAGTGTACAGGCGGCACAGCCCTGTTTTTCTAAGTGTCTAGAGCAAACCCATGTCGCTGTCTTGTGCTGCAGACTGCTTTCTTTTGTTGGTGGCTTCTACCGAGTGGCCATTTCCTTCTCTTCGGCACGAATGCAAGGCGGCCTACAGCCCCTCCTTCTGAAATAACGTGTCTGTCTGGGTTCAAATCTCTGCCCCACTGTGCAGCCGGATGAGACACCTTCCTCAAGCCCTTTGGGCCTGGTGCAGCACAGCAGCACAGCATGATCGTGCTCCCCTGCTTGGTTGGACACTGTAGAGTTTTTCCTCCTTCTCTTGGGTGGGCAGTGGCTCTGTGGCTGGAAGGTTACTGTTTCAAATCCCGCAGCCGATGGAGGAATCCTACGCCGTTGGGCCCTCTGACCACAGATGGCCACATCTCTGACGCCCTGCCTGGGCAGCCTGGTCCCTCTGGAGCAGTGAGATTGAGGCGTGCTGCAGTTTTCCTCTTGTGTGCTTGGCTTTGTGTTTCTCCAGCGGTTCTGAAGAGGTCCACTGGGCTGCTGGTGTCGATGCCTTCAGTACTTGAATCCAGTCCACTTGCAGTTTCATTCCTCCAGGGTCTCTGGACAGATTGCAGAGCATCAATATCTAGCTTATAATCGATGGCCAAAACTGTACACAATTCTCTAGATAGGGATTTTGTTACACTAGGAAACCTCTAGATCACTGATACAATTTAGGAACAACAGTGATCTGAGTGTTGATCCATGTAGTACCCCATTAATTGGAGTATGTACCCCTCCTCTGTGTAAATTTCTATCATTTAAACTGGTCTCAGTCCAAATACATGACCATTTTTTTTTTTTACAAAATCTTATCAAAAGAGGCCTACACTCCTACACAAACCCCATCACGTGCTCGGTTTGTGTCCATTACACAGAAGAGCAGGCTGTGGGATTGGTCCAGGAGAGGTCATGCAGGTTTTCATCCACAAACATGGAGCACAGCGCCTAATCGCTGGCGAGTGACACTCGCTAACGAATTGGAGAACAGTGTTAATGGGCTTCCTATGACCTGCACTGTAACAGCTGCCAGAGAAAATCTGTTTTAATTGAAAGTCTCATCATTATTGGTTTGTAAGGGTCTTAAATATAATTGTGCTGGAAGAAAAGACAGTTCTACAGGCGAATTTGCCCAGTGGACAAGCATGTT